TTTAGAACACCCACTATATTGCTGCAAATATTTTCTGGAATTCTGAGCACGAAAACAATTACAGGTATTAAAGTTAGCACATACGGTAAACTTCCCCCAAACTTCTTTTCTACTTAAAATAAATGCTTCCTAAACGCTAAAAAACATAAAGATTTCAATTATTTTTCAAGCGAAGGCGGTGTCTTCGCTTCATAAATTACTACTTTTTTCCCTCTTCCATTTCCGTGCTCCTAATCATAATTATTTGAAGCGTAATTTATGTTTCAGCGATGGCACGGTTTGCGTAAATAGTACTAAACATTTTCTTATGGAAGAAATACTTTTCAAAAGATCGTGGCAGAACTTTTATGGCTGCTGTTATGGCTGATCAGCGCACCAAAGACATTTTTTCCCTCCTTCTTTAGTTGCTTTTCCGAAGAATTTATTTCAAATTCGAATGAAAATGAAAGAAGAAAAAACTTCATTTTTCCTATTATGTATCATATCAAAGGAATTAGAGTTTTGTCCAGGCAATTCTAAATGTTGAAATTTTTATCGCAGTCGTATTTGTCTTTTTCCTTCATTCGCAGTTTTAGTTATTTTCTATTCTTTGTTTAAAATTTTAATTAAGTCATATAATCTTAGCATTTCTATATAGTATAAAAGCCTTTATTTCTTAAATGGAATTAATGTCATAATTTATTAAAAATCGATAAAACTGCATCTCTCTCTATCCTTATAAACATGGCTGTCTACAAATTTATTGACGCCCTTTCAAAAGTTTTATATTCAGAATTTATAAACATAAAGGAACAACGTAAAGAAGATTACTTGAGTTTCATTTATTAGCATTCTACCGGCTTTAGTTTCACGAACTACATCAAGAAAACGATTGTTCAATTATAATATACTTGTAGGATGCTTTTGTTACTGTTTCTATGACGGAAACAATTTTCAGTTTCAAATTTCAGAATTTTCTAGCTTGCAAGACATGTGGCACAAACAAACAAAATTTAACCTACTCTCAAAGAAGCGCCGATGACCATAAAACTTGTCGATTACTTTAGTTTATGGTCAGGTTAATTTAGACTTAATAAATAGGGAAATATTTTGATCTGTACTTGGGACGGTCACTTTAATTAGTTACGAAGCTTTGTTTCATTTAAAATACTGCGTGTTAAATTCATGTCAATAATAAGTTTAAAGTGTGAAATTATTTATTTTTTACCTTAAATAACTGCAAGCCATTTCCTCGTTCTTTTCAAATCATGAATGAAACTATCTGTCATAAAACCATTATAAACATCTGATAAATAACCGTGCCTAAATGAGCTATAATAATTTGAGGCCAATTGTTACCATGCTTAATTGAATAATAACCCGATATTTTGAATTTGAGTTTTTGATATTTTGAATCTTCAAAACATATGAAAATTTCTTGTTTTATGTGCAATAAAATAATCAGGAGGAACTTTATGTATATCAAATTTCATTAGAGTCATGGGATTTTAACTACCCATGTTAAACAAAATTGAACGTTTTTCATGTATTGTAGGAAATAATTCAATTGAATAACAACTGTTGAAATACTTCATTATCCAGCATGGAAAACAATCGTCCTATAAGCCAGACAACAGAATTCTTATAGAAATTATTATTTTTTCTCTTCTCAAAATAAATTTCTCCTAGCTGTCGCAAATCTCATATTCCTGTTAGGTGAGATTTTACAAAGAAAACTCTGCTCATTGCTCTGGGCAAATCCTATTCCTGGTTTGCCGCAGAACTATTTGTGCAGGTGTTAGATTTCATTTCGGAAATTCAGTAGACGTAAAAAACAGCCTTGTTGATACTGGAGCTGCAAAGATGAAATGATTGGATCCAGTACTTTACATTGCAAAAAATAAATAATCAGTTATTTCGTCTGACATACACAGAAGTAATCATAATTCATTTTCTGAGTATATTATTATATCTGCGACTGATAATTCGATTGTATCCTGGATGAAAACATAAGAGAATTATAATAAGGAAGGCTTGGAAAATAAGACGGCTGAGCAAAACATTCAGACCAAATGTTAATTTTATAATAATATATGTTTTTTATAAGTATATATTATTCTGCTTAAGACATATACTGCTTAAAATTTTATAATATTGTTAATATGTAATAAAATTATGCAAAACTTCTTGAAATAACTTCTCAACTTCTACATTCTAATATCTTTTAATATTATTTAAATCTGATGAAATTTTTAAAATATGCAGATAGTAAAATGAACTTTAATTTTAATTGCTCCAGGAAGAAGAGCATGTTTCGAGTTATCCGGGTTAGCAGACTCCAAGTCTCATATAACATAAGAGCCTTTGCATACCAGTTAAAACACAGGTAAATTCTTCGGATTAAGTTTCCCATATGTGTGTTTGCATATGCAGTAAGTAGAAAATGTAACAGAAAAACCTCTTTATGTAACGAATTAGCTTCTTCCCACGTTGACAGAACAAGCCAGGAAATATTTACATCAAGCACGCTCATCGTGGGAAAAATTTTAGGGATTAGTGTAAGTGCAGTCAATGAGATTAGTTAAGTGTATAAGATGAAACATATCAGTGACTTTGAAAGAAGTGCTTTAGTAAATACAAGAAGACTCAATTCCAGCATTTCTAAAATGGTTAAATTATAAGGTATTTCTCCTTTCTTCGCATGCCTTCGTGGTTTAATGGTCAACACACTCGGCGCGTATTCGACAGGTCCGTGGTTCGGGTCCCGGTGAAGGCATTGCTCATTTTTGACATCTCTTGCTATCAAGAAACATCTAATCTCTCTACAGTGGCGCCCTAAATAAAAAAGGTTGTGGATGATGATTCTCCATCATCAGGATTTTGGATAGGATAATCTCCAGTAATCCTTAAGTTATTTCTTCCGCCTTCTTAATTTGCCTTCATGGAATAATGGTGAGCATACATGGCCTTCACATCTCCTTTCAAAAATACCTAATGTCTCTACAAAATATCTAGGTTTTTCTCATGTAATAGTTATCTCGGTTGCTCACGAAGCAGCAGCTGATGAAAAATCATGTAATAAATACCTAGTAGGCAATGTTAGTGAATTAAATAAAGTGAAAGAGGCTCGCAACGAGACTTTTCGCAGAATAGCGAACGTTTCTGCGCAGAGATTGTAACTCAGCACATTTCAATACGCATTACAAAGCACATCCGGAAACACAATACGATGGACTCAACATTGGCTAGGATTTCACAGAAGGAGACTCCTAAGAGCTCTTAAACTGTGACTGGAAAACCAGAAATTGAGATTGCTGTGAGCCTAGAAACACCAAATGTTGACTCCTGACGATCGGCAAATGTAATATAATCTGATGAATATCATTTCATATAGTATGATTTTAAGTTCAGATTACTTTTGAAATCATAACATACCTCTAACCTCAATCATTATTGGCATTTGTCGGACAAAGTGGAAATATAACTTCAGTATTTGAAAACTCCACCGTCCAATCTGGGCGAACTTTCAGATGCCAATTATATCAGCATAGATTAGTATCCTTCAGGAATAATATGAGGCTCTTGTTCAGGCCATGCGCAGATTAACGCCACCTATGATCAAAGATATAAGTGAATATGACTAGCGTGTGCCCCTAGTATTAAATAATAATATAAACTGCTTCTTTAAAATATAATATGTAATTCAAATAATAAAAACATTTCTTCAAAATGTGTAAAAACAACCGTAGCTTCTTAGAAAGAGAAAATTCAAACGTGAAGTCATTGCTCAGGAAGAAATGATATAAAGTGTTTTGCGTCGTTTTATATCATGAGTTGCTAATCAAAGGCTAATGGGTTAACGCTTGAATCTGAAAATAAAAAGCAAATATTTAAATGAGTGCCGCTGTTACACAATGGGGCTTAATACGGAATTCGCATTTACCTTGATTACATAAGCTTTACGAAGTTAATGAAGTTTAAAACTAATTACAATATTTCTTAGCATTTATATAAGTTTGATTACAACAATAAAAAGCATAGACAATTTTATATACATCCATGTACATACATATGTACGTATTCACGCTTTCACAGTTTGGTATGTTTCTTATAGGACTTTTAGATGAAGAATCTTTACTATCACTAAGATAATCATCACAGAAGATCAGAACTTGCATTATACTGTCGAAACAAACTATGTAATAGAAATGTACAATTTCATCACATAATTAAATCATTATAACTTTATGATGGTTGAAAGATGAAGTTAATTGCAAGCGATTCAACAGTGAAGTTCTGAGAACTGATTGCTTCGTTAACAAATCTCTGTATCCTGAAGACGCAGTATTTTCTTGTAGAAGTGCAGATCAAACTGGTCTCTGACGTCTCGACCGCAGAGAGTAAAAAAATACGGAGACTGTTAGGGGGCATTTTAATCACATTCCAAGCATTAGGCCTAGTACGTTAGCAAAAAGAAATCTCTTTGAAGAGGATAAGATCTAAAGTCAAATATATTTTCAACATTTATCTCGCTTTATCTAATACCCATATTATCTACTTAGTAACGTTTACCGAAATTCTTCAGTGATTATTTCTATAAAATTGACTTATTTCCTACAAAATGTTTAGTGATAGTATCGTATGGATATGTCTCATCGTTTGGACTAATAATCACCTTTTATATTAATTTATTTTATTCGATTTTCACCAACACTTTAAAACAATTGAAGAAACAAGGGAATGTAAAAATTAATCAAATATTTTAAAATCAAGTTTAGATGGAACATCTATTATGACAGAAACTTTTTGACAATTAACAAAAAAAAGGTTACTCATGCATTTTCTAACTGAAACAATGCTTTACGTCAAACGAAGATATAAAGCAGATCTCTATTATATGCCTTTCGAAACTAATTTTAAATTTTAAGTATGGGAATAAAAATGAAAAATACACTAACACGACGCTCAGAAAATAATAAAAATAAAATAAATTATTCCATAAATCCGATTAGCTGCTTTACCTTTTCTATTCGCTCTTCGAGAATTTCTGCCTCTAAAGATTTCTAAACGAGAAATTCCTCGTTTAGTTTCAGCATTATTTACCAGTTCTTGCCTTCTGTTTATTTGGGAGTGCAAACAAAAAGTGCAGCTTGTTTACATTAAAGAAATGAATTTAATTATTTTAAGTTAAATCCCAGTTACGGTTTTATAAAATCAATGATTTCTGAAAAATGTTATAATAATAAGTTCTTAAATGATAATTTCTGAATAAAATTAATCGATGCAGTAAATGCATCGATGCAGTATATACCATCTTCGAGGATATTTTACGGCCTCTTCATTTCTTTCTTCGACCGAAGAATACACAGATATGACGAAATGTTATAACTTTTCGATGGCGCTATGTTACTTAATGCTGTTAATTGTCTGATATGCGGAAAAGTATAAAGTTTTTTAATAACAAAGAAAATTTATGGCAACCTGAAAATATTTAAGAGTTTCATCGAATGTTCAATTTTTAGTCATTTTGTAAACAATTTAATCTTTTAATTAAATTAAATAGTAATTTAATACAACTTACTCATTTTCAACTTCTGAAGATTTACATATATATATATATATATATATCTTCTGAAATATATATAAGTGATTATTCCTTTTCTATTTATAATTATCTCTTAGGGCAAGAAATATAAAATACTTCATATTGAAATTAGGAAAGGTTAATACTTAAGAAGAGCGTATTGAAACTATTAAAAACTTGTAACAAACTTAAAGGAAGTTTAATATTTTTAATAGCATGTATTAAATCGTGCATTTTATAAAACAAAAATAGCGCATACGTCAAAAATAAGGTACACACATACAAAAGCAAGTAAATTATTGCTTACTTCTTCGAAAGAGAGTAAGTAGGCTTGTTAAGTTGTTAAGGATCTATGTATATATATTTCAAAAAAAAAAAAAAACATTTGTAAGAAGCTGTTTGGGGTTTAGTTAACCAGGTACAGTTTAACTCCATTCAGTGCATAATAGTTACCCTCAATATTGTGCTGAAATGAATATGCTGTAGCCAAAGCCTGTTGAATCCATTTACTGAACACTCGAGCTGAAAGTGCGGATGCATGGAGAAAAGTATTGTAAGTTCTTCGGATGTGCTTCGTATAGAAGTAAAGAAACTAACCACTAAGAATATAGTAATAGTAAGCCTATTCTTCACTTTGGAATTCGCTTTTAATGTGGAATCGTACATTACTGTTAGTTCTTTTCAACAGGAAGCAACCGAGAAATTGTCGGTGGTTTTCTATGAGAATTTAAGCAAGAAACCATAGACCTTCATTAGCTATTCATAACAGAGAGATAATTTGTGTTGTTCATCTAATGTTAATATTTATACGATTTTTATATCCGAACCGCACAAAACTTTTAAATCTGTAGCTGGCTCGTTATAAAACACGGTTGCTCCTGTTTATTCTGAGTCGCGATATTCCAGCTAGCCAACCTGTCCACTGGTAGTAGAAGTTTATTCCCTTAGAACGTAGGGATAGAATCTCCACTACCAAACCCGAATTAATGATACTTAGATTTTGTCCTTTGCTGATTTAAATTACCAAATTACTGAAATCTAAAAAATAACACTCTTAGCGTTTGTTGATTCATAGATGTATAGGAAGACTTGACTTTAATAAATCTTCTTCGTTTAACATCACCTAATATATGTGGCACTAAAGCTAAATTAAACTTGCAAAGTTGATTTATTCATCCAAATGAGGGAGAATTAAAGAGCTACATTTCTATAGCTAATTAAGTTTAACATTACGAGTTAAAAGTTTTACAGTGAGTTTTATAATATGCAACGATTATTAAAATCCCGCGCAAAATCAATCAGTTAAAGTAATAATTTCTAAATACAACAGATTTCAATTCAAGCAATGTAAAATATTAATCTCTGTCTAGCTGAGAACGATTCTTGGAATCGTTTCCAATTACAAAATATCTTCAAGGGTAGAATCAAATTTATACAGTAATTTACAGTTTAAACCTTATTCAGTGAAGAATTACTACACTTTCGTTATAAGGTATTAGGTATTCCTCCCGCCTTCATAGCATACCTTCGTGGTGTGGTGGTCAGCACGCTCGACGCGTATTCGAGACGTCCGTGGTTCGAGTCCCGGGGAGGACTTTTCTCATTTTTCATAACTCCTGCTTCAAAATACCTAATGTCTCTGCAACATGTGCAATATAACTATCGTCTTTATGTGAAAATGCTACAGACGTGAACTAAGAATAATGTCTAAAGTATTATGGTAACAAAAGCTATAAGAAATCGGATACTTTATAATATTTATGTTTAAAAATAAAATAATTGTGCACATTTGACATATTATGAAACGTGCTTGAGCATTAAAAAGGATTTCCATGAAATATTTTTAAATCTAACCTCCAGGTTTCTTCTTTTCAGTTTTATAGATTAAACTGAATTTCAAGTTTTGGTTTAGTCTTAGTTCGTAACACATAAAGCAAATTATAACATAGTAAATTATCTAATTATTCCGTAAAAGAAGACAGTAAACAAGTTACTATTAATGGCTAATCCGAATATTATAATAATATATTTCAAACAGAGTGCATTAAACAGGTAAGCGTTTCTACAAATACTTGTAGAAATTTCTTTTATGAAACTGTTTTAAAACCTAAAATCTCTCTTTTTTTTTTTTTTTTTTCTGTTTCGTACGATGTAGGCTTGTGGTATTGATTACGACATGTGTTAGATCCATGTAAATCTCTGAGAAATTAAAATAAGACACTTTTAAAGTTTTGTTCGGGACGTAATTAAAGTAGATGAGCAATTTAAAATTATAATACATCAGGGAAGACATTTTAAGAGCTAGTACTTTAAAATGACTGTCACCAAAGCAACTTCAGAGCGGCGAGCTTTATGAAGCTAAACGAACAAAAATCTTTACTGCCATAAATATGAACGTTATGACAAGTAATTTTCCTTTAATTAAATTACATACTTCTTCCCGCTTAATATTCACCGAATAACACAAACTATTCAAAAGTTCTTTGTTTTTTCTTTTTACAGCCGGCTTTAAGCTCCAACTTGAAGCAGTATTTGTTAAAATCGCATCTGATTGGCTGCCACCATTAACGAGCGCATATAACGTAATTATTATCCTCATAAATAATACCTCGAAGCTGTTTAGCCTATTAATTACAGCTCCTCAGGCGTCTTTTAATCCCCTTATCAGAGAAATAGAAGCTTGGAAAAGTGGCTATTTATTACGTGGCATGCAAATATCCTAGGGAGAACAGCTAATTTCAGTATTTTAGGGAGAAGAATGGCTTCGAAGCATAAGGGAATACAGAGTTTCAATCTAATTTAGAAAGTTATGACGGAAAATCTGGAGCTGCATAATGAAATATTTTTGTAGGCCTTGTGCTGACTATTGATAAGCCTAAAATTTTTAATAATTTATTTCAGTTATTTTTTAACTTTCGCGTATCCTTCTTAGTTGCTATAAAAGAGTGATGACGTCGCATGAACTCCTCGTGTTTGCATATATTATTTCATGTTATCGTAAGTTATCCTGTTAATTCAACAAATTATTTCTAACTTTTTTATTAATTGTTGGTATATTCTTCAGGCTCTTACAAAAGATTTTGATTATTTTGCTGTTTCATTAGACAATGCATCTTCTTTAGCATATTTTAATCGAAATGTTGTGTTTTTCACGAAAAGAGCAGTAGATTCTTGAAGAGAATTTGGTAATATTTTTAAGCAGATTATTTTAGTTGGATGGCATGTGTACCCATATAACCAAATACGTGATAGGAAGCTTTCAGTATACGTCTGTGTTTATTTTCGCTTAATGATTATGTATATGTCTTTGTATATTATTATTATATATGTATAAATTTTGGCGCTTACATTTTTTAATTACCATCATCAGTCACATTTTAATTTGGTTTTATTTTATCTTACATACAAATATTAGAAATTTTAACAACACGACTTTTTTAATATTTTAAAAATATTATGCAATTCATCATTCAAAGAATTCCCACTCAGTGGGCATTTGCTGAACTAAAATATAGCACGTGCCAAATAAATCAAGAAGACACTATAATGGCAATTCATGACAAAATAACAAATATATTCTTATCGAAAACAGTAGTTAATGCTTTTCGAAACTTTATTTTATTAGTTTTCATTGTTTCATTTCATAGTATGGTTTTCTAACCCCTTTGTGTCTGTCCTTATGACACAACACTCTTTCAAACTCTTTCTCCATATAACACTAATTAAACAGAGTATGTGGCAGTTGGTACGTTGTGTTTAAGATATTTTCGAGTTCGCCCCGGCCAGGTCCTCATTTATAGCAATAACTTAAAAAACATACTGTGCCAAACAATTAACTAATTCAGTAAATAAACCATTAAAATGTCATAAGGATAAATAATAAAAGAAAATAATTGACAGACTGAAGTCATCTACTATTACTTTCCTGATTTTATTTTCTAAAGTTAAGTCCTGATAAACATTTCAGTGCTACATGTGAACGATAACATTTAAGAAAAGTCTTATTGATATAAAGGTACCCTTTAAAATTATTTTTTTCTTAGTATAATCAATTCCATTTAATTATATTAGAATGCAATTAATATTCTAACACTACTTCTCCTGGGAGAAGAACAATTTCCTTCTAGCAAGATTTCTATAGGCTCAGCTATAACGGTCAAAGAGGCATTAACATTTATCTTATTAATCTTTTTTCATATTATCAATTAACAATAACTTAAGATGTTAAATTCTATATCAAGAGAGCTATTCAACTTTTTTCTTTCCATCGGTTCAACAGAAATTTATCCGTTATGCGGACGCATCAAGGCAAGAAAAATAATCAATACGTGTTATACTTATCTGAGTAGGAACTTCTGGAATTAGTGAACTTGAAGCCTAGATTACGAGAGAGAGAATAGTCTGCTGGAACATATCTTGAAGACTCTGACTCACAGCCCAACACTGAAGTATTCAGGTGAACAGGCTGATTGCGGTGAAGTCCTGGATCATCATTCCATTGAACGGAAAGTGACGTCTAAACACATTAACAGAAACAGCATTAAAAGAAACACGACAGGACAGCCTTTGCTATCGAAAACCAGGAACGAAATAGTGACGCAACTAGATGAACAAACCTTTTCGACGCAGCCTGCAAGCAAAGATACAAGGAAAAAACTCAGCTGCATGATGAAGGTTACTCGCATTAGGGACTAGCTAATTGAAAAAGATCTCAAACTCGGTAGTAGAAATGAAGGCATATTTTTTTTTCTTTTTGCTTATTAACACAGGGACTTCTGCAAAGTGTAATTTCTCTAATTTCCCTACATAACAAAATAATCGTCAGCACTAATAATCATCCTCTCTAAGATGGCCAGAGGTTAAATTGTGTTGCGCGCATTAATTAGTTCGTTTTATTACTTCCCCATGTGTAACGTTAGTACTCGCCAGTGCCTTTAAACCTTCCCCCAAAGAAGGAATCGCTCACATTAGGCACAGTGTCCTTATGTGTTCTTGCAATAGTATAAATAATTCTAAACCTCACCCTCCACAGAAAGCTAAGGACTTATAGTAATGGTTTTCTTAGAAAGGGTTCGCTGTATGTTTGCCCGCAGAGCACATGTGCCTTTTATTAATGGACTCG